AGCGTTGCGGACCACAGTTTATAACTTTTCAGTAAATACAGAAAACGAATAATGGGAAAGAATACAACATGAAATTAGTGTTATGAGAGGTAATGCACAATTATTGGATAAAATTCATTTTCATTTTCGAAGAACTAATGCTTGCGTTTAAGAACAAGGAAGTAACTTTGTGCATTTACTGTAATATTATTTTAATGTGATTACAAATATCAATTTAGGTTTATTTAAAATGTTAATGTTAACTTTCTTACATTATTAATAATTGATACTATTTATTTAAAATATTAGTGTTGATTTTTATTTTATCGATTGATAATACTAATACTAAAAATGTGCAGTTATAAATTATTTTTTACAAATCGGAATTTTTGCCTATATTTAATGTATAAAAAATGCCAGATTTACTCGAAATCCATAAACGATATCAAAATTTTCTAAATGAATGCTTATTTTTAAAAATTTAAATTCTGTCGTCATTGGCGCATACACAAAAAAGTTACGGGATAGCCAGTGGCGCACAGGCACTAGGAATAGAACATCCTGTATATGTATTCTCTCCAAATTCTATATTTACCTTGCCCTTACATAAAAAAATAAGTATCAAATTTGAAGTTTCGAAGAAAAATAGTTTTCAAATTATTTGGAAAAAACTAGATTATCTGTTCTATATTTAGAAGGCTATATCTCAGTAGCACTTTTGTATATAGGTAAGTTAGGCTAAATAGTCTTATTTTCATTCAAGGAACCTGTGGTCAAGCGTTGTCCATCCTTTTCAGGGACACCCCATATATTAAGGTATACACCGAGGGGCGATCCGCTGATGTAATCTTCGTACATTTGCCCTGGAATCTTTATGTAATCTACGTAATCTTATATGTAATCTATTAATCTGTCTGTAATCTAAGTAATCTTATCTGTAATCCTCGCTGTAATCTATGTGATCAGCTAATGAATTTCGTCGATGTAGTCGTTATACAACGCCCCCCCCCTACCTCATTTTCCAAAGAATGCCACAGAAACCTCGACAGAAACCTATATGGTGCGATTGGTGTGTTCCGAAGGGCAATCCGCCAAGGAAAAAACAGACGAAGATTACAAAATTTCTGAAATCTCTTGTAATGTATCTGCAGATTTCAATATCAATTCAAAAAATATTACAAATTTCATATAAATAATCAAGATTACAACACATTTCAGGAGATTTCAGAGTTATTTTAGTAGATTTCAATGATTACTTAAGATTTCAATAGGATTATTAGAAATTAAAAGAATATTTCAAAATTTCTTAATAAGGTTTCAAGGAATACGGGAAGATTACAATAAGTTTTGAATGTCCATTTGAACAAAAATAATTGAATTAACTTCAAATGTCATTCATTTCATTCATTAACAGTAGTACTTTGATTAAGAATTTCCAGTATCAGGCATTTTTTGGGCAAAAATTGTAACATTCTGATTAAGTTTTTTGTTCGAATGAACGTTAAAAACATTTTGTCATGACAAAAATGATAATGCTATTTTGAAAGTAGGTAAGTATTTTCCCAAAAACTAATAAATAAAAAATATATTAAGCTTTTATTAATACTTGCATTTAATACTTTACTTGTATACAGTGTGTTTAAAAAAGACGCGGCAATATTTAAGGGAGTGATTGCTCAGGTCAGTTTATAAAAAAAGTCCTATAAACATAGGTCCGCAAACGCTTCGTTACCGATCTACAGAATGTGAAATTTCATTAAAAAACAGTAAAAATTAAATTTCTCTAAAACGCAGCCCCTTATTATTACCTACTACAAACAACAGTATGTACCACATTTCAAAAATCAATCAAATTTGATAATTTGAATTTCTTTGTTCAATAATTTAAATTTCTCAATTAAAACAACATTGGGTTTAGGTGCGCAATAAAATGTTTTTTATTTTTTTACTCAATAACGGTGTGACGTACGGTGCGTATAATCTGAGGAAAGCTTTCTTCTTCATAATTGAACAAGGAATTAAAAAATTATATTTTTAGAAAAACCAGCGGGGTCCTATTTTTTTCATTAAAAATAGCTAGTCACTGGTAAGACTAAAAAATCGTTTTGTATTGCAAAGTACGCGTCTGCCATAGCTATTGACAGGCCTAAAATTTCATTATAATATCAAGAGGTTTTGGAGAAATTTAATTTTTACTGTTTTTTTAATGAAATTTCAACATTCTGTAGATCGGTAACGAAGCGTTTGCGGACGTATGTTTATAGGAACTTTTTTTTATAAAATGATCTGGGCAATCACCCCCTTAAATATTGCCGCGTCTTTTTTAAATACACTGTATACAGGTAAAGTATTAAATACAAGTGTTAATAAAAGCTTAAAATATTTCTTATTATTTATTTTTTGGGAAAATGTTTATTTTATGTTACTTTTTTTTTTTTATTTTTATTAGTTTATTGGATTATTATATTTTTATCTTTCAATAAAAATATATACTTACCTACTTTCAAAATGGCGTTATCATTTTTGTCATGACAAAAAGTTTTTAACGTTCATTCGAACAAAAACTTAATCAGAATGTTACAATTTTTGCGTAAAAATGATACTGGAAATTCTTAATCAAAGCACTACTGTTAATGAATGAAATGAATGACAGTTGAAGTTAATTCAATTATTTTTGTTCAAATGGACATTCAAAACTTATTGTAATCTTCCCGTATTCCTTGAAATATTATTAAGAAATTTTGAAATCTTCTTTTAATTTCGAATAATCCTATTGAAATCTTAAATAATCATTGAAATCTACTAAAATAACTCTGAAATCTCCTGAAATGTTTTGTAATCGGTTGAAAGATATTGTAATCTTTATTATTTATATGAAATTTGTATTTTTTTTTAATCGATATTGAAATCTGCAGATACATTACAAGAGATTTCATAAATTTTGTAATCTTCGTACGTTTTTTCCTTAGCGGATCGCCCCTCGGTATACACTATTTTTTTATAATTTGTTATTTCAAAAGAGTATTGTGTTGCAGCATACTGCATATTATTCTATTTTTTTATTAACAATTCTGTCGTTTATAACAGTAACTTAACAAAATTAATTGAAAAACACAAGTTGAATGTAATCCATTTCTAATGACTAATAAGTTGTGAATAGAAACATTTATTTAAATGTCCCTCCACCTATTCATACTCTATTGCGCTGTTGCCGTTACTCTTTCACGTTTATTACTTAACAGACAAGTCAGAGAACTTTTCATGTTTTATCTTATTCACATGCCATTAGTTACGTAAAAATATTGCAGTTGTAAGTGCAGCCACTTGAAGTGCCCCCATCTGCCGTTTTAATTGTTATTATTGAGATCTCAACTGGTGTCCTACTTAAGTATGAGACAAAATTGACATTTACTAATAAAATTGACAGTGATGACAAATATACAGTCTGATTTTTAAGTAATTTCAAATACAGTGCTAAAATTTACAATGGAAAAAAATGTCACAGAAGAGGAAATCGGCAGAGAGCTGAAAGAGAACAACGAGAAGATCTGCCACTGCCTATTAGAACTGAGAACGCAGAGGGACGAACTGATGTTCCTCATTCAGAAGCAGAGAGATGAACGGAAAAAATTGGAAGTGGAAATGGAGAGACTCACGTACAAGTTGTGTCTCGTAGGTTACTTATTACCGTAGTATACTAAACTTGTTGGTAGCAAACAAGTAATTTCAAATATTTCGCTCCCCGTCCCTATGAACAGTAGGTACTTAACTTTATCAATCAAATGTCTGGTAAATTGCAGATCAACAAAAGTATGGCCCAGCGCATGAAAGCAAAACAGAATTACGATGCGACTATCGAGGAAATTGAAGAGAAGTACAAAAGGTTGAAAGAGAACTCAGGCGATCTGATGACCATGGTGGCAAAGGACTGCAACCAACTAGATTCCCTGATCAATAAGAAAACTAGTACAGAAGACACCGTCGCCAGTCCAGTAGACGAAGATGCACAGACAGAAACGTCAGAGAAACCATCAGAGAGACTATCGGAGAAACCTTCGGAGAAACCTTCGGAGAAATCATCGGAGAGGGTCAGCTCAACGAGCAGTGCCAAGACCAGTCAAGAGGTAAATACTATCTTTTCAATACACAAAATTTATAGATAAAAATTAATAACCAGAAAAATTTCCCAGAGACATCGTATCTTAGAAGAATTATTATTATTTAATCCAAACTTATTTCAGGAATGTGTTTGCCTGCCTAATAAAGACGGCAGGTGTATCAGAGAAAAGATGGCGTCTAAGATGATTCAAGCGTCTTCTGTCCAATCCGAAGTGCCCACAAAGCTGGAAAAGGAAGCGAGCGAAGAGAAGAACCAACAGAAGGAGTCTGATTCGAAACAGAATGAAGAAAGATCCGCCCAGACTTTTGTCACTGGGGAGCCCGAAATTGACAGCGATGAGGATGAAGAGATTGCTTTTGAGAAAAAAAAGTCAAGACTCAGCCACGCGGCCAATCAATATAAAGAAACGAGCCTTCGTAGATCTCAATAAGGAATATTGTGGCGTGTGTCTTGTGTTTTTGTATGCATTATCAAAGGAAATTGAAGGGTACTCCATGTGTCGGTAATTCCATCTAATGTAATGTGTCTCATGAAACATCTAATTCTTTTTTATTAAAGAAACAAAAATGCAAGTGTTATAATAAAATTTCCAAACATGAATATAATAATAATAAAACGGCAGATTTCCTTTGTATTTAAAGAGAATGAAAATAAATATTTTGTAGGTTATGTCGTCAAATAATTACGGTACGGACAAAATGGCGGTTGGCAGTAAAATCAGAATTTTAAAACAAATTAAAATTTGCAGAAAACGATTAAAAACAGGATTTATCAAAATAGCTACGTACCTCTAACCATTTCTGCAGTTATTCACATCCATATATTGTACAGGAGACAGGATCTTGGCGCAAATTTCCGGGTATTCTCCGTAACAGAATAAAATTAAAAGGCAACACTATTAAGACACCAACATTTATCACCCTAAACAAATTTTTGAACCCTTCCTTGTTACATTTTCTTACATAAACAAAAAATTTACGAATTCAAACAGCTTTTTGCTAAACTGGAAAATGCCAAACGACGCCTCTCCCGCAAGCTATAATTGTCATGTGGCTGTCATTCGTTTGTCTTTTTTATATTTTGCGATTTGACAGGTATGTGGTTCACATAAGCTGCTTTCCAATTGCCAGGGAACAGCTCCTGAAATGTTCTTCTCCTGTTCTACAATTGGCACACCGAGAGAAACACGTAAATATTTAAATAATTTTCAAGTACTGTACTGTATTTTCAGTTTTTAATAATCAGTTCAATTGATATATGTTTTATACGTATGTCCTGTAAGTGGAAGTTTCTTTGCTGGACAAATAAATTAAATTAATTATTATTTTTATTATTATTATTGTTAAGATCATAATTAAAATATGGTGCGTGAGGGGGGTACTGGAAAACAAATAGGCACACTTTAATACTGGAACGCAAAAAGTTAATCTGGTGTTCCTGAGAAGCGCTTCCGAAGTATGTATGTATCTCTTGTCAATTGGAAAGCAGCTACAATTATACTGATTGGTTTACTTTTTATTTAAATTGGCCCATCAGAACCATATTCGCAAATTCACGACTACCTATATGAACCCACATACTAGAAGTACGTGTATGAAATATGAACCACGCATTAATAAATAATGAAAATAAAACTAATCGAAACTTAGTGCATATACTAGTGGAGGTAGCGCTCCCAGCGTCCAATGGCCGAGTAGTGATGAGAGATTTCGAGTGAAAAATCGAGTGGTACTCGATTATTGAGATCACTCGAGATATCTCGAGATGTTTACTCCCACCATTCGAGTGATTATTACCCTACGGTTGCACCCCAAAATGTTAGTGCATACTGCAAATAGTCACTAATTGCGTAACCTTTTTTTTGAAATAAAACGAAAAAGTGGTTAGGTTTTGAAGTGCGTGAGCTTTTTTTTTTNTCGTTTTTTTTCTCATATAATTTTTGGGATAGGTCGGAAATTTTGGAAGTGGACTTTCGATTATATATCATTCGAATGATCATTCGATTATAAAATGAATTCGAAAGGTAACCTCTCGATTATTTAATTCATTCGATTATTTCCATCACTAATGAAATATAAACCACGCATTAATAAATAATGAAAATAAAACTAATGGAAACTTAGTGCACAGCTTATATATTGGCTGTGCTTAGTGCATATTCTACTGCAGGTAGCGCTGGCAGCGTCCAATGGCCGAGAGTGTAGCGGAAGTTTAAAGAGAGAGGGGTATAGGGTTGTATTTTCTGTTTCCATCTAGCAACATGCAATCGCATGCTGCTAGAGAGAGATAACATATACTCTCCTATACATCTCTCTCGCTAAACCTCCGCTAACCACGCTACACTCTCGGCCACTGAGACGCGCTAAGGATGAAAAATAAAAATTACCAACTTTATTTGAATATCAAAAACAAATGAAGGAAGAAGTACAGAGTATCTGGAAGCGAATAGGTAGGGTCATACTTCGAATCAAAGACAAAATGCAGCTTCCCTAGTGAAGATAAATACGATAAAGTTGATCAAGTTAACATATAGTACAATTTTGCACTCTAAAAAAAATTATGAATTTTCTACATGCGTTTGTCTTTGTGAAGCACATGGTAGATTCAATTGACAAACAAATGTTTTATAAAGAGAAAATAAACCGACCTAAGTTGATGCGATTTTTTAGGAAAAATGTCGGGAAAAATTTTATGAATTTATTTGAATTGCGTTAATATATTTAGGATAAAGTAAAAACATGAGAGCTAATAATAAAATATACAGGGTGTTTCGCATACGAACCGACACAAAGTAGGGCTTGTAGGGGAAACCAAAATATGGCGATTTAACGCAACTTACCTCTGCCAAGCTGCACCCCTGAGAAGTTGTAGACTTTGAAAGTGGGGTTTAAAATTTCGAAAAAAATTAATCTCGGTTGTACTTGAACTTGGAAAAACCAAATTTGGTACACGGTGTGAGTGTACCAAGAGCATTAATTGACAGTAAGTAAAGCTCAATTGAAGCATTTTAATTAAAATGTGACAGAATTTTTTAACCAGTTGGCGGACTTAAAAAAATTATTATTTTATTTTATGGAGAATTTAACGGGTGTAGTAGATTACGTCTGATCGCTTTGTGCACAGAAGTTTGCGATATACCAGTTTGTCGAAATCATGGATATATTTTTTGAACAAAACCTCTAGTGCTGGGGACGCGAGAAATGAAGCAAAATCGAATTAGACTACCTTTAATAAAAAAACACCTACGTAAGTAAAAAATTAACAATATAAATACGACTCGTCTAATAAGATCCTACAATTCTTACTTTACGACATTCACCGTGAACGCTAGAACAAATACTGCTGAATTCCTTGCGAGACATCCGGAACAATTCATTTGGGATCTGGGCGCCACCCCCTTCCAATGAACCCGACCGTCTTATCCGTCGCCAAATAAATTGTACCTTCACAAGAACACCTAAAATTCTACCCGTTCTAAAGGTTCATTACAATGCCAACCAAGGATGGTGCTCGAGGGCCTCCTTGGACCTGTCCCCGTAATCGTACAGCAGTTCCTCTCCCTCCCTTATATCGGCCCTAGCGAGCAGAGCCAGCCTCGGTTTGCCGTCCACCAGTACGGTTCTCGTAACGAGGTTACCATTGCGGGAGTGATTGATCAGCCGACCCAGCTTTCCGGATTCTGCGGTCGCGTCGACACTGAAAAAAATGTTTTTATTTATTTTTAGCGTTTGTGATGTTCACAAATTACATATATACACTGCTTATACCCATGTTTGTTAATATTTAATAGAATAATAAAAAAAATACTCCAAGAACCGACTTACCAATACTGTTGCTCGTTATGCTTGAAATAATACATGTAGCACCCCGTGCTTTCATCTTCTTCGTAAACCTTTTCTCGTCTGCTTGCTTCATTCACATCGATGAGTTCGCCACTATATTCCACCACAAATTCCCCTCTAAGGAAATTTTTTGAAGCAAAAACTCCCCGGCCTTTTCCGTTAATATATCTTACCTAAAAGAAATACTACTTGTACAAAAACACCTCACTCAAATTTGTATTTTTCTAACCTCCAGCCCCTCTTCTATGCCTTTCTTCAGAGCATACTCTAAGAGTAGCCTTTTTTCTTCTTGTAGCTCCCGTTTAGTTCTTCTATCGGACTTCCTTACAGAAAAATACTCTGTTACTTTGTGGTTGAGGTTTTCCAAAGTTTTTCTGTGGAGTGTATTTCTTCTATTTGGCTTTTGTTTAAATAGAGCTGAAAATTAATTAGTTTAATAAGGCATAGTGTGAATTAATGGGATATTACGCAAACGAGGGCGAAGCTATATAATTTAACTGAAAATTTCCCTCACTGGTTAATGCTTACCTCTGACCATCCTAGACGTAGTAAAGATTTGGGCGGAAGCGGAATATCAAATAATTTAAACAAATAAAATATTGACAAACTAAACTGAATTTCCGACACAGGGTTCTTCCGAACCAAAATAATTAATCAAAATGTTTCTTTATTCATTTTAAGACGAGATTATACCACTACCAAACATAGCTTCTACTCGTTTGGCTTGTTTGTTTACGTTTACAAATGGATTTTTTTACTATTTCCATTTCTTGTTTTTGTGGTGACAATTCGGTTATTCGGCAATTCGATTTACGATCTTTTCATTCCTTTCAAGACATATATGTCTATTTTTCTCTTATGTGATGTGGAAATATGTTTAATCACGACTGTCGGCATCTCTTTTTCCTACTACGTGATTGGTACATATCGAGTTCTTGAATAAATACAGCCAATCAAACATTCACCAGAAAAGAATAAAGACAGTTCAAAGTTCGCATAGAAGACTATCTCACCGTACTGTTTATATGATTTTTCTGATTGGTCTTCAGCCAGAATGACTTTGACAGCTGATTGACCCACTTTTAATTTTTGTAGGAACTAGGTATAATGAAATTTTTTTATTAAAAAAAAAGTTGTGAACGTAACATATTAGCCTGAAATGGAACAGGCCGTCGAGGACCTGGAGAACAAGGTACGTAACATTTTCCGCTTTTATATTAGAATATCAAAGTGTAATTTAAAAAAAACTTCCAGATGAAAGAAACCGATCAGAAAATGGGTAACCTCGCCCTCCAGGTGGGCAACATAGAGAGCGAGATTTTCTCGGATACCGGGGAACAGATAGAGGTTAACAATTTACTAAAGTCGGTGAGCGAGGTAAAAACGAATTACCAGAATCTCCGTAAAGACCTTATGGAGGTACAGGACCTCCAAAAACAACTCAGCTCCACGCTCCATATGCAGCTCAAACTCATGCAGGCCAAATTCAACATGTTGAAAGAGAAGTTACCCGAAGCGCCTATATCTCAGTCCAAACCAAGTAATAGAGTGAGGCAGTGCGGACAGGAGAAATAAGTATACCTTTTATTGCGCAGCTTAGCGTTTCGGCAAGAAACCTGTGAAGATCCAGGCCGACTTGCCATTTTAGTTGCTTATGAAGCAGCTTATGGCGGATCATTTTCAGAAAACAAACACGCCGCCCGTCACTTACATCGACAATATTCAAAGTAGCCTATTTCATTAATTTGAATTGATGTTTGTGATCGGCCGCATGTTGGTATCAAATTTTTATTCATATATTTTGAGAATTATTTTTTTTTAATTATCCGTTACGGATCTAACAATATATGTAGATTGTGAAAGGTATATCTGTGACTACATATATATACAAACAAGGGATTGTTTTCATAATATTCAGTGTCGCAAGGGTTTCTTTAAAATAAGATTTAAAAAATTTGCAATGATCAAGCAGTAAGTCGAGAATGTAGGTGAGATATAACGATATAACCCGCAAAGTATGTCATATCTTAATTGTCGCTATTACTAGATATTGCAGGTATAATTAAATGTTGGGCAGGACTGTAATCTGCAGAGTAGTTGTTTCTCCAATATCAGTTAGCGAAGAACTTATTAAATTCAAAACTCAAACCACTCATAAAGTTTTTCATTTAAATTTCTGGTGTCCATTTTTGCCAAGTTTACTTTTAAAATTTTATTTTTAATTCGTTAGTTGAGTTGAAACATATTATTAATGTAAAATTAAAATTAAATTTCCAACACAAATTCTTTAAAATTTGTTTTTTCAACACAATTACAATTTTAAAAAATTCTCAAAATATATAATTAATTTAATTTGTTCATTAAGTTAAGATTACGATACTTTATAAAAATGGAATCAATCCACGACTTTGAAATAACAATAATTTTGAGATATTTAGTTGCACGGTATGTGCACGTTGAATGTAGTCATATTTTAGAAACTGGCTTCGCCGTAGACAGGAACGAATGCAAGAATAAAAAAAAAGTGCAGTAGGAAAAATGGTTTGTCAATTTTTTCTCATTCGTTCTTGTCTGGAAAGTGTGAAAAGTAGCATGCGTCTTTTACACAGAAAATCGATTGCGTTGAATGTTTGTAACAGTTTATTTTGATAGAGTATTTAGTGCATCGTATAGCTGCATGCGTTTTAATAAAGAAAATTATTTGTGATACAATAAATTTACTAATAGCACGTAAAGATAGTTTATCTGCAGTTTGTAGAGATAAGACAATATTTGTTTTAAAAATATTTGCTTTAAACCTATCAAATGGAGGAAAGGTGTTGAATACACGTGTGACCTTTTTTTTTCCAAATTAAGTATCTTGATGTGTGGATATTCTGTTCAAATAGCATTAGTTTTTCAGTAACGCAGAGTTGTCTTATCTCGCAACAATTTCTGAGAGACTGTTTGTGTCGACACGGTGATATAAGTTGTAATATGTATATAGCACATAATTATGTGTGTGTCAATTTGTTAACTAATTCGGTTTATTAATATCTTCACTATGTAAGAGTCAATTTACACGAAAAGTGCCGTTTTTATCTTATTTAAAATCAATTTTGTTGGTTTTGATAATTAATTTACACTGAAATATCAGTAAAGTTTCAATAATGTAAATTTTAAACTCGCTTGATAAAATGCAGACAACTTTTGGGATCATTTTATGTTATATTTATTATACAGGATGTAACTTTGAATGGTAGTCATATACCTTTGACCTTTAGAAGTACGTATCGAAATATTTCGCATCCACATACCAATATTACATTAATTTTATTTTCGTTGCATTGGCAATTAAATTAAAAATAATTAAAATAGTAAGTCAAGATTAAAACACAACATTCTGTTTCACGTGCTGGTGTTTGGTGTAATTTTTCACGAGATTTTGTTGGACCAATCGACGATCGTGTTATCTCGAGCGTAGACGTAACGGTTTGTCCATTGTCATCATTAATATTGATGACGTTAAGATTTGAAGATGTTTAATTGACATTACCAGTTATGCTGTTCAAGTCGCTTGTAATAATTTATGAAGGCGGCTGTGCATTAACCTTAAAAAACTGACCACCGCTTAAAGTTACACCCCTGTATATACATAGATTTACTAACAAAATGTACTTACTTAATTCTAATTGTAGTATTTTTCTTGGCCTTTATCGATCATTTACATTTCATCAATAAGATAGTATTATTTTTTTATTTTTGTATTATTTATTTATTTTTATTAGATATCAATAAAAAAACCTTTTTAAACAGTAAATATGTCACATTTGACATAAAAATGGGATATTTGAAAATTCATATAAATTAATATGTTTTATGTTGCCTTTTGAAGTTGCTTGTGCATAAGATTAAAATTGTATATATCGACTATGTAAAAATCTGTGCATGTTAGGAAAATAAGTCAATTGATTTGAGACTCTAATTAGATGTATGCGTATTTTCTGCGAGGAAACGTAATCAGGCGATAATTTGACCCTGTCAAAAACCCATTGATCAAAGAAGAAGCCTAGATCCCTATTAAATTTTATATTTTTGATATTTTCAAATGGCTCGGCGACAAAGTTTCGTAACTGGTTACGATTTTTAATGTACGGTGTGTTTTGTTTATACTCGTACTACAAAAGAAAGTTTTATGAATTTTATACAGAAGATGCGAATATAAAAAAATCATTTTAGTAAAATATTAATGTGAGAGTGCGACTTTTAGATTTAAATGTTTCCAGTTAATGAAATCAAAAATATAATTAGTTTTATTGAATATACTACAGAAAATCTGTAAACGAGGAACTTGCGTTGCTTTTAAATTTATAGATTTAAGTTTACAAAACTGTGAAAAATACAGATTCGAGTAGAAATGGAACACACTGTATTTTTGCAACTTTTTCTAATACTAGTTTCATGTACCTGATATTACACATTTTTATGAAAATTAAAAAAGATATATCTCTAAAAAAATCAAATGTAATTAATGCCTTTAAAAGTATATTATTCTTTTGTGTGACTGTCGGACTGATGATCTATATGTACTATATAGTACTATAGTATACAGTACTATAGATTGGTTTTCTGGTCTCATCGGGCACCTCTTGACCTGCTTATATAGACATGACATTCCGAAAGTGGGCTAACATGTATCATGAGACTGTTACATTCCATATAAGCAGGTATTGTTTAGGCAACAAAGGATAATAAATGTAGTTCTAGAAAAACAACTTGCTCAAATATTCAAGCACAATACATATATATCCTATACACTACTCATATTTCTATATACCTTTTAAGATCGTATTTCTTAGCACCAACTAGCACAAGTGTTATATAAAGTATACATTTTTTTTGTTATTTAGATATAATTTGTTACATATGTTCCTTTAAAAATCAATAAAGATTTATTGAGACAGTTTCGTGTTTCATTTATTTTTATTTCACAAATTAAGCTGAGACAAATATTTTAATATAGAATAAACAATATTTTCCATATAAATAGTATTTAAAAATTTTCCAAGTACTATATCCTATTCATGTCCAAGCAGAAAATAGTTTGGTAGTTTATCTAAAATTGTAGATAAGATATTTTTCATTTACTCAACATCGCACTCTCCGCCTGACGTCATAATAGGACCGCCACAAAACATACCTAATACAATGACCACGGGGTATACGCAATGACGCAATATCATATTTCTTTAGATACAAAGGTAGGTATATTATCATGATCATGGAGACTATAAAAGTCCCTGATCATGATACTCACTTCACTAGTTCCATGGAACACAGAAGAGTGTGAATATCAAAGTCGACAGACTGTGAGTGGTTTCTATCTAAATCTATTAATCTGTGGTGGTTTCTGTTATCTATTCGCCATGACAGTCATTTGACTGATGTAAACGAAAACATGCAAGAAGAAACGACAAACGGTAAGTTTCCCTCAAATTTCCGAGACCCAGTCAATGAACTCTGCCCTATTTTCTTACGGTTTTCCGGGGAAGTCGCCGTCTGGTCTTCGATTTCGTCGCCAACTAGATTTATTTTGATAAGGTTGCGTGGGTGACAGATAGAAGTGTCAAAGGAAAGGAAAACATGGTATTTATTTTGGAAATTTTGGGCAGTACGTGATATGTTCCGCGTAAAAAAATACTTCAGACGGCCGCTATTTTAAGAAAATTTGCACTTGGTGGGAATGGCCGGCCTCCGTGAGTCGATATTGAGTTATTCGTGACAATGTTTTATTAGAAGGAAAACGTTTTTTTAAACCCACGGATTTCTTTAAATATGTTCGTGAAACTTGAAGACTTGTTTTCTTTGAAATTTGGGTGGCAGCAATAGAACCTTGTGTTAATATTATACATAATCACTGTAGTCAATATTTTAGAAATATTTTCCACAATTTTTACATTTGGTTTCAGTGTAGTGATTTCTCTTTCTCTACTAAACTTCATTGTCGTATCGTATACTAATAAAAGTATAGGAAAATATCTTATAGGAATATCTCATTGCTAGTCATACCTCCTTGTTAAATATATTTTTACAGATCCCGATGAAAGTCTTCCCTCATCGTCAGAGAATATCTGTGCTGGATGTTTGAACATCATCGATGAGGAAGAGTTCATCTCGGCTCTTGGACAGGAGTGGCATTTGGAATGTTTCAGGTAAAAATATAAGTGTTATGTAGATTTTTTATATTCATGGTGGTAATTTCTAATTTTGCAGGTGCTCGGCTTGCGATGCTGCACTGTCGAATTGGTATTTCGAAAAAGAGGGGCTGCTGTTTTGCAAGGATGACTATTGGGCCAGGTATGGCGAGGCTTGTCAGCAGTGCAGTCAGGTGAGTTGGAAATTTATTATTTTGTTTGTAGTCGTTGCTATTTCGCAACATCGGTAATAAATTTAAACATTTTTAACTTACAGTATATCGTGCAAAATTCAATTCTAAAACTTTTTTTTCTCCTCAATATTCTTCCAAAATGCATAGTTTCCAAGATATAAGTAAAAAACTCAGATAAAACAGGTATTTTTTAAATTTTTTTAAACACTTTTGCAATTTTGAAAATGTTCCGGACCTCGCCCAGATCTAGGGATCTACACTTTTATTATGCGAGTTGTACTGAAGGTAATCCAGAAAAAAATTGCTTGCCACCTCTCATATCCACCTCAAAACAGATCCGCCCTGGTCTAATAACCATCAATAGACAGTCTGTTTTATAGAGAGTTGGCAATACTAAGAAAACTACATAGCAAAATCCCATTTAAGCAAAATTGTCTGTTATTCAGAGGTGTCCGTAAATGCAGGTTTTACTGTTACCATTGCCACTATTTTTTGTTCTGTCAGATCATCACGGGGCCTGTTATGGTGGCGGGTGAGCACAAATTCCATCCGGAATGTTTCTGCTGCGGTTCCTGTAGCGCTTTCATCGGGGATGGTGATTCATACGCCCTCGTGGAACGTTCAAAGTTATATTGGTAAGCCTTAATCATCGCCGGGAAACGTGGAATTTTTCTTTTATCTCTGTTAATTGTGCTTTTTTTTATAATCAGCGGTCAGTGTTACAAGAGGCAGATGCAGCCGCTGCAAAAGACCGCTCGATTCCCGTTTGCCAGGAAGCCGCATTCTATCAGATTGGTAGAAATCCCCGGAGGCCAAAAAGGCATAAAGCTGACAATGGACCCCATAAACGGGGGAAACAGCCAGTGTTTTACGATATCCGAGTGAGTGTTTCGTTCGTTATCATTTTTTGCATGATTAATATTGTTTAGAAATACGGTGTGTTTGATTATCATAATTTTAATGGGCAGTAACACATAAAATATAAACAAAAAGAAAAAAATGTAACCATTTTTTATAAAAAAATTATCAAAATCTCTGCCACTATTTTGTTAGTTTTTCACGAGGTTTTCCTGTTTTTAAATTCTCTTTTTGGAAGTAAAAAATTTTCATTACTGGCTTTTTTATCTTCCTATGGTGTAATATTAGTCCAGACGGTATCTGTTTCGAAGAGTCCATATTTGGGTAAATCGTATATCCACGGAGATTTTTGGCTTTTTGGCTTCCAAATATCACTAGAAATTAAAATTTTTCTATGCGCATAAAAAAAAACGTGGGCTTAACTTTTGCCGGCCCAATATGTTAAAAAAATTCGAAAAATGTCATATTTTTTTTCCTATTTAATTATGTATCTTTTCAAGAGTTGATTTTAGGCGAAAATGGAAGATGAAAAAAATGTTTGTAATTATATTTTGCAAAATATGACTAATTACAAATCGAATGAATCATAATTATTATTGTAAAAATCTGAAAAATCGCCAAAAATGGGGTTAAAGGACATTACTTTTTAGGGAATTTTTTTGGGGTATTTAAATTGGGTATAGGACCTTTATACTTGGCTCAAGAAAACTTCATGTTATGTAGAATCACCACAACAAATTTCATCAAAATCAGTTCGATAGATTTTTCATAATAATTTTGCAATCCAGATTTTGCAAAAAAATTGCAAACTCAAAATTTTGCACAGCAAAAACCAAGGCCCTTAGATACTTGAAAATTTAATCACATATAGAAGGGCTCTCAAGCTTTCAAACGCTTTTTGAAAAATTCTAATCCGTCAATTAGGAGAGCTCTGGCGCTTGTTTAAACATTGACCGAATTTTTGTACTATAATTTTGTAGTTTTGTAATATAATGAGTTAATTTCTCATTTCCTTATAATTTAAACAGTAGCAGTATATTTGAATTATACTTTAATCACAAAAGAAATTATTAAATTAATAATTAATTAATTAATTAATTATTTTCGACATTTGTTGAAAATAATTGTTGTTTAAACAATTTTAGAATATTTAATTAAATTTGTTTTTGATCTTTGATAAACAGTATATAAGTTTATGCACTTACCTTTGATACAATAAAAAATAAAGTTGATAATTAAAGGAAATTTAAAGATAAAATAATTATCGGACTGTTGCAAGACCAATAATTATTAATGGTAGGATTTTGAAAATACGCTAATTGTTTTTTTTTAAATCGCAAGACATCCATTAAAAAAAAATCATCAAAATCGGACCTCTAGAAGCTGAGATATTAAAAATTTTTTAAGCGTGTCGCGGTTTTGAATTCGCCGATTAAATTTCGAGCAGGCCGAAGCGACCGTGCTCTCTGCTTCCCCCACCATCACCACCCGTACGATTTTCTTGAATTTCTCGCTTGCATAAATAACTTTAAACACGTTTTAAAGGAGGTTGCCAATGAAGAAAAGTATTGCAAACTTAGACCTGGTAAGTACTCGGAATACCAAAGGTACTTTTCGAAAAATTAGCCCGGATGTCCCAGTACATTTAGTGTAAATAACGGTTAACTTTGATCGGCTATAACTACGTAACTAATTGACCAATCAAACTGTTTTTTTTTTAAAGAAGTGTCTCCAATAATTTTTAAAACCTGCTTTAAAAAGTTTTATTTGATTGAATATTCAGTTATTCTAATTGTTTATAAGTACAAAAATTCGACCAAGCTCTCCTAATTGACGGATTCGAATTTTTCAAAAAGCGTTTGAAAGCTTGAGAGCCCTTCTATATGCGATTAAATTTTCAAGGATCTAAGGGCCTTGGTTTTTGCTGTGCAATATTTTGAAAATTTGCAATTTTTTTTTCAAAATCTGGATTGCAAAATTATTATGCAAAATCTATCGAACAAATTTTGATGAAATTTGGTGTGATGATTTAAATTTAAAAACCCCGAAAAAGTTCCCTAAAAAGTAAAGTTTTTTAACCACATTTTTGGCGATTTTTTCGATATTTACAATAATAATCATGATTCATTCAATTTGTAACTAGTTATATTCTGTAAAAAATTTAATTACAAACATTTTTTTTCCGTTTCTATTTTCGCTTAAAATGAACTCTTGAAAAGATACATAATTAAATAGGAAGAAAAATATGACATTTTTCGAATTTTTTTAACATATTGTGCCGCCAAAAGTTGAGCCCACGTTTTTCTTTAAGCGCATAGAAAAATTTTCATTTCGAGTGATATTTGAAAGCCAAAAAGCTAAAAATCTCCGTGGATATACGATTCACCCAAACCAAAACAGATACTGCCTAGTCAATATGTAATTTTTGCAGTTTACAATTAATTTTAAAGTTGCTCTTTTATGCCGGTACAAACAGAAAACTATTAACTTATGTGGAAAAACAGGTCGGTTTACTGGAGTGTTTGGTTAACTTTGATAACATTCCAAACTGATATTTAATCCTCTTTGTTAAATGACACACATGTAATTATATTTATTCATCAGTAAATTGAAATAACCGCATAAAATGAAGCACAGACTCTGGTCAGTCTTTTTTTCACAGTTGGAACTAAATTTTAAATTTTTATGAAAAAATAATTCCCAGCAGCCGTACAGTTGGTTCAGTTAGCGCCGCAAATTTGATTAAACACCGAAACAAAAACTGATTGCGAACATTTTATTTAAGCGTCTTCAATTTTGCAAAAATTGTTGACTAGTGTAATGATAATAATTAAAATCTAACAAGAACAGTAACTTGTAGCATTTAACTAATGTATTTTATCGATGTAGGTTGATATGGAGGATCCGCGGAAAACTGCTTCGGGTGGCTTTTGCATTTCTAACATCCGCTTTTAATATTTGCTGCTATTTCATGCCTCCATATAGGTACGTTTTAATGGCAAGCCCACGACTCCTATGCGAAACCTGCCTCTCGCGGCGTTTAATATTTATTATCCCTAATATAGCTTTTTTTTAAGGGGTTATAGTCCAGTCGTATCTGTTTTAAAAATAGGTTGCCTGCTGAAAAAGTTGTGCATAATTAATTGTTAGCGCAAGGAAATGTAAAAAAAATAATAATATTTCACAAAAATGAAAATAGACTTGTTAAAATAAAAGGAAATTTACTATTTATGGAAAATAGAAAAATATAATAGTATTTTCCTGCATTATAAAGTCATATTTACCTTAATATCAGGAATATGTTCCTGCGGAAATAGAAATCTTAAGAAATAACTAACACAAACTACTGTCAAGGTCGTTTTACAGCAAAATAATAGCGACTAGATCTGTTGTAGAAGCTGACAAAAAAATTTATTGAAATTGCTCGCATAGCCCCCCACTCCTCACTCTTTGATTCTCTGCTCGAATCCTGTGAAATGAAATCTTTTTGGCATCAGAACAGTTTCCGATTTAAAGAAATTTTCATAGTTATAAAGACTTAGTTTCAAACAATCAAAATCACTTTTGATTGTTATTGTACAGTAGGTTGTTTTGACGTAAATTCACTTCAACTTTGAGCTTTCATATCTCGATGACGATTCATCGTATCCACAAAATCAAAAGTGGATTTTGTTCGTCAATCCTTCCTCTATTTGATCCTGTAATTACATTTGAGGACTATGCAAATACGGTAGCTCCAGCTCTAAATGTTTAGAAGTATTTTTTCGAAGAATTTTTGAAAAAATTGTAATTGTTGCTAAAATGGATAAAACAAAAATTTTTAAATGGGGATAGATAGTTGACACTCCAAAAGGTATGTATAAAAATTGGGAGCTCAAAATAATCATTGGTTTTACCGTGAGAGAGAATCGAAAAATAAATATAATTCTGTATTTTCTTAATTAACAATTAAATTGTGGGAAATCTACCCGGCCGATTTCGGTGAAAAAATGTCTGCATTACTACCATATCATGAAGTACTCAGAACCATACTTTTTATATGGCTGCTCCAAAGTCTAGGTCCGAAGTAAATTCATGAAAAAAACATATTTTTTCACGAATTTTTTTTGGTCTATGCTGTATTGCAGCAACAACAATACACATAAAAATTTAGGACTACCTATATTTTGAAGAGAATCTCAAAACGAAACTTTTTTTCCTTTGACTATTTTGTCTAATGTCAATATTCTTCGATGCCTTTTAAATTTTTTTTTTTTGTTTTCTTGCGCTAACAATTATGCACAACTTTTTCAGTGGGCGCATATCGCAATTATCATTTTAGATAATATTTAGAATTACTTCCAACAAAAAGTAGCGTTACTATATAAAACATCCATTCCGAAACAGATACCAACTGGACTATGTGCAGTCAGAGGTGTGGAAAAAAAAACATTTTCAAGAATATTTTTTGGACTATTGTACACTAATGCAAACAATTACAGGGTCAAAAGAATTTCCGAAATTTTTCCGTGATTGTATTTAAGTGAAAAATGGTCGTATCGAGAATTAAAAAAAACATTTTGAAGCTCTAAGATTCTAGTTTTTAGATCTTTTGGTCGAAAATTATTAGGAGCTACGGTTATCATATAATTTTAAGAAATAACACGACAAAAAAATTTTGCAAATTTTTTTATTTTTTTTCCGAGTTCACGGACTTGGAAAAATTTTACTTCAGCTAAGCCATTGGATGGACCAGATAGGTTGTTTATTCAGCTTTAATTTCCTTTTTTTTAAAATTTTGATACGACCATTTTTCATCGAAATATCGGACAAGGAAAGGGATCCTCTTGCCTTCAATCATCGATATCTCGGCGACAAATGGTCGTACAGGGAATTGAAGGGCTGTTTCGAAAACTGTAATAAATGTCCTATAACATGCTGCCGCAACTTTTCGGAATTTTTTTTTTTCGTCTTTTACACGAATTTAAACAACAGGAAAAAAAGGTAATTTATGTTTTTTTACAAAATTGACAGCTAAATTAGAAATATTCACGAAATGACTAATGCTAAGCATGACTTTTACAGTTCAATATACCCAGAAGAACCCTGTGAAATTTCATCTCGATCTAACGAACCGTCTCTTTGTTTCAGTCAAACTTTTGAAAAAAATTAAAGGGTCACGATTTCCGAGCTTAAACACTTCATAATCATGATTGAAATGGAAAAAAATTTTTTTTGATGATTTCACATTTTAACCGCAAACATTCAAATTCATGAAAAAAAAATTTTTTTTCGGAAAATTTTTTTCCGGAAGAAAAAGGGTAGTTTTGAAGAAAATTGTTTTTTAAGTGATTACAGACTGCACAAAAATTAATTACAGTCTCAAAAAACGGTATGAATCGGGATCAAAAGCTGGTTTGAGTCAACTTTAATTTTAATTTAATTGAAGGTTGATGAACAGAGGCATAGAATCGTGCTGGAAACAATTGGAATTTGTTTTCTTCAATTTTCCAAAAAAAAAAGAAATTGAAAATTTTTTGAAAATTTTTCAAAAAATAATTTTTTTTTAATCAATTTAAAAGTTATTTGTGGTAAAAATGTGAGAAAATCTAAAAAAAAATTTTTTTTCCATTTTAATCATGATTTGAACTGGTTTAGACTGAAACAAAGAAACGGTTTGCTAGATCGAGATGAAACACAGGGTTCTTCTGGGTATATGGAACTGTAAAAGTCATGCTTAACATTTGTCATTTTGTGAATATTTCAATCTGGTTCATGCAATGTCTTTGCTGAAAAAAATTTTTCCAAGTTCGTGAACTCGGAAAAAAAATAAAAAAATTTGCAAAATTTTTTTTGTCGCGCTATTTCTTAGAATTGCATGATAACTATAGCACTCAAAAAATTTCGACCGAAAAACCTAAAAACTAGAATATAAGAGGTGGATAAAAAAAAAATCGACAATTTTTTTTTTACTTTATACTCTGAAAAATAGGTTGCTAGACACCTCTACAAAATTCTCTCCAAATATGAGCTCTTAATTTTAATAGGAAGGTCCTCCGCTTTACAGTTTTCCTCAGTATTAGAAAAAAAAAAAATATCTATCAACTGTTAGTTAAAAATATCTCTCCTCATATACTTGTAGGAAATTGAACGCTCTACAAAAAAGGTCTCTTACAATTTTTTCGTAAACCTCACTGTTTAAAAGATATTAAAGGTTGAAGTTTGATTATTTTAAGACATATTTCTGTTTTGCTTATGAATTTTATAACTCGTTAACAAAAAATCATTATGAAATGCGCAATTCATGGTGTTGTAGGAAATTAACTGCTCTACAAAAATGGTCTCTTATGATCAGTCGATTAAATAAAGCGTTTAAAAGATATTCATCGTCAAACTTCAATGCACGCCAATTTTAACAGTTTTTGATTAATAATTCGGAAAATTTCAATTTAGTTTAAGTTTCAGGGAAATTTATACAAATTTGAGTTTCTAGTGAAGCTCCTAATGCAGTCAAAAAAATTCTTCGCTATCATACTCAATGGCTAAAATTACAAAAAAGTTAAAAAAAATCAGCACAAAACCAAAATGTTTGAAATATTATAACTCACTTGATAATTAAACAAAAAAAACTTTTTAATAACAAATTGAACATTTTTTTTTCTTTAAGATTAATACTTTTAATAATAAATTTCTAACAAAAATGTTATTTTTTCAAGATTTAAGGAATCATTGACTCAGTCAGAAATAATGCATTAATTTTTTTTCGATGTAACCAAACATGCTTACGACTAAAAAAAAACTAGAAAAATAGTTTACACATTTCTCTGTTCATAGAAACTCAAACTTATATATAATTTCTCTAAAACTCATAAACTAAATTGAAATTTTTCGAATTATTATTAATCAAAAACAGTTAAAATTGGCGTGCATTGAAGTTTGACGATGAATATCTTTTAAACGCTTTATTTAATCGACTAATCATAAGAGACCATTTTTGTAGAGCAGTTAATTTCCTACAACACCATGAATTGCGCATTTCATAATGATTTTGTGTTGAGATAAAATTCATAAGCAAAACAGAAATTTGTCTTAAAATAATCAAACTTCAACCTTTAATATCTTTTAACGGTGAGGTTTACGAAAACATTGTAAGAGACTTTTTTTGTAGGGCGTTCAATTTCCTACAAGTATATGAGGAGAGATATTTTTAAGGAACAGTTGATAGAGAGATATGATTTTTTTTTCTAATACTGAGGAAAAAATGGAAAACTGTAAAGCGGAGGACCTTCCTATTAAGATTAAGAGCCCATATTTGGAGAGAATTTTCTAGATATGTCAAGCAATCTATTTTTCAGAGTATAAAGTAAAAAAAAAATAGTCGATTTTTTTTGACCCACCCTAATAAGAGCTTCAAAATGCTTTTTTTTAATTCTCGATACGACCATTTTTCACTTGAATACAGTCTGTCAAAAATCATAGAAAAATTTCGGAAACTCTTTTGACCCTTTAATTGTTTGGTTTAGTGTACAGTGTTTTTTAGTTAATACATAATACCAAGTTTTTACATTATATTTTAAGTAACTTTCACAAAAATTAAAAAAAACTTTTTTCAAATTTCGTAAAATGACAGCCTCTGGAATTTTATTTTAATGAATTTTGCGGAAAATATCACTTGTCAACTGTTTATATGAAATAGAAGGTTAAAAAAAAAAAAAACAAGAAAATGCAAAGAAAAATTTGAATTTTTGAAAATCTTGGCTGCACGCAACCTCTTAAGGGATTTCGTGGTTACGTATATGAGACGTGGTGCCAACAATGAAATATTAACATCTTATAAGCAGCGTACTTTCCGTCCGGTGACGTCACTGGCACGGGAAGAGGTACACGTTTGCAATTTTTTATCGATTTCATTTTGTAGGCTGGACGTTAACAACGACCTCATGTCGTTGCATATCGGCGACAAGATTTTAGAAATCAACGGGATGCCCGTCCGGGACACCCCTTTGGAGAACGTGGAAAATCTCCTTCGATATTCCGACACAGTCCTCCAGGTAAAAAAAAAAAATTTATATTTAGTTATTTTTTATAACACTTCTAATAAGATCCCGATTTCTTTTTATTATTGAAATTATGTATTTTTATGTCAGTTTTACCTTTAATATAATTACATTTGTATGTGGTGTGCTAAACAAATAAATACAATTCGTTCATATTCCCATTTCAAACGCAGCTGACAATCGAACACGACCCCGACACGATATCAAGAAACCTGGCCAACTTCACGGCCTCCACACATACCAACGTCCCCCTAACTACGACTTCCAGCGATACCAACATCCCGAGCTCCAGGAACGTCCCCGCGGACACAAAGTCCTTCGGATCCACCGACTCGGTGCACAACGACTACCACTCCAATACGTTAACGGTGCCGCAGACACCCGTACAGCAGTCGATAGACAACGGCGCGCTCAGGCAGGCCGCCAAGACCACGCAGGGCAGGGGAGAGAACAAAGAAAGGCTGTTCAAGAGGAAGGACGAGGGTTATATGGCGGGGACGAGATCGAGGCAGTTGCGGCGCAAGAATCACCCGTCGGAGAACAGGCAGAGTCTGGACAAGGAAAGGAGCTCGTCCATGAGCCGTTTGTTAGACGAGTAAGTTGAGATTTCGAGCATGATTTCTGCCCTCCTGCAATAAATTACTCCTTTGGGAGTGCCGCGAGGCCCTCATCCGGGGCCATTCCTTTTTAACATGTTTGTCGTGGACATAAATTTTTGTTTTAAACATTCTCGATTCGGTTTATTCGCTGACGATTTAAAATTTGGCGGCTGCAATGTGCAGTCTGATGTTATTAATCTTGTGGACGATGAAAAAGAAACGAAAGTTTATTTTTTTTTAAGCATATATTTCATACACTTTAAGTCGAACCATTGTATAAGTAAATATAGTAATATAATCCCCATGTAAATTTTGTTAACCAGTAAAATGATACGAAAGATAGTGTGGACATCTATCATCGTCTGTATCCGTTATTAATATTTCTGAAATTTGTGCTAAAGAACTCAATGTTGGTCTAAATTTATTAATAATGGCAGCAAATATAATATGTCAATATTATAAATGTGGAAAATCTAAAGGAAAATTTCCCTTTTCATCGAATTCCATCGGAAAAATATGGTGGTGAAGAGCGAGTTAAAAAATGCATAGAAAATTGTGGTGAGTAAATATACATATACAGGGTGTCCTAAAATCATTGAAAAAATACTTTGAAAGTTAAGTATTTTATTTAAAAGTTTATTACAATATTTTCAACTTCAAAGATTCTTCAAAATTTTTACAAATTTCATTATCAAAATTGAGCAGTTTAATAAAAAATATTAAACTTAAATGATTTTAAAAAATTAATCACAATTTCATAGAAGTTTGCATTTTAATTTATGAATTATGTTCACCGATAATAAGGATAGAGGAAAGGTGAAAATTAGAGTTTACACCCTGAATAACTTAGGATAAACCGGAGAACATTTTCGTGGTCCACGATCCGGGTCCTATTTCTTACGGCTCGGTCATAGTGATTTATCAATAAAAAGCCAATGTGTTGGTGAAAATGATTTTTCGAGGGTTTGTACATTTTTAATGTCAAACCCCTGTAAAAAGCTACCAGAGTAACGTCAGTATGTCAAAAATATTATCAAGAATGTATACAGGGCGAGTCAGTTTTTTGTACTAGGATTTTAACAATTGATAGAGAATAATTTTTTAATAATTAAAGTTCCTATAAACATAGGTCTTAGAACACTTCATTTGTGAGAAAACAAACTTTTTTAAGAATTTTTCTTAATATCTCTAAAAGACCAACTTGAACTAAAATTTGGTATTCATAACACGTTAGTTATGGTGAATAAAACAAAGATATCTGTTTTCCATTTCACACACCAGTGACGTGCCTGAGGTGGGTTACTGCCCCCTTTAAAAAAATTATTCGTACGCCCGTGGATTTTTCTGGAAAATAACATAATTTCTAAATTTTTTTAATCAATTCTGAACAAAACGGCTCTCTTTCAATTTTTTATAAAATTAACGGGTTTTGGTTAAATTCATTTGGTCTTTTAGAGATATTAAGGAAAATTCTTAAAAATGTTTCTTTTCTACACCCTACATCTCACAAACGAAGCGTTCTAAGACCTACATTTATAGGAACTTTTCTTATTAAAAAATGATTCTCTATCAACTGTTAAAATCCAACTACAAACAACTGACTCACCCTGTATTATTATATTATTATAATAATAATTTTATACCTACTAATTTCAAGTTTTCGCCATTCAAAAAAAAAAGTAGTATTAGAAATTGACGTAGGTCTTGGCATTGTCTAGTAGTCTAGTATATAAAGACATGACTACGACGTACATATTTTTTTCAAATTAAACTATCTTTTGGTGGCACATCCTTCTTAAAAATTATATTAGTAAATTAATGCACGTTAAAGTTCGTCTTTTATAAATAATCGTGGTTATCTCCAAAACCGTTGAGGATAAGTATTGGAAACTGACTGATAAAATTGTTATTGTTCCCTTTGAAAAAAATTAGTTTTCAATCTTTGAAAATTAACGTGTTGGCCGCAAAATTTTAAGTAAATACTTAAAAACACACCGTCTGCAATCAATGTAAGATTCCTATTTTATGTATGGTAAAAAAATCGCACAGCTTGGTAAAAAAATCGTACAGTTTTCCTAGCAACCGCCTAGCAACGGTCAATACAATACTGTTTGTATTGACCGTTGCTAGGCGGTTGCTAGAAAACTGTGCGATTTTTTTACCGTACGTAATAGGAATCTTACATTGATCGCAGACGGTGTGTTTTTAAGTATTTACAGTAGTGGTCGTAGGTAAAATACTTTTACTGAACGGGTTACGTGAAAAAACCTAAAAATGAAAATTAAAATTAGAAAAAAATTTCTTCATTAACAAAATATTATGCAATGTGTCTAAGCAAACGTAATGACATATTCTTACGTATATATTTCTGTAATCAAAAAAGTAGAGGAATTTAAAAAACAATAAATATACATGGTGTTACATTAAAAAAACAAATATTTTGTTTATATCTTTAAAACGCAACATTCAATTGTTTTTTTATATAACTCCTTGACATCATATGCGTTCATAATTGTTTTTTATGTATTTAAGAAGCGGCCGCGCAATTTTCTTTGCACCCAGCCCTGTTATTGCTATAGTGAAATTAATGAATTTAAAATAAACATCTTGTTTAAATTACACACATATTGATTTAACTAATATTATCTTATTTAAATAATTTGTAACGTTAAAATTTTAGTCGTAGTATAGTTCTGAATAATCCTAGAGTAAACCGCTCAAAGTCAAACAACTTCTAGTAGTATACAACCAAATATACATAAAATTCACATTTCTTTCTTTTGGAGATATTTAAATAAATTTGAGTAATTTTATCATGTTAAATGTTAATCAGTATATAATTATTATTATTTAAAATTAAGCAGTTAAAATTAAATAATCCTGTTTGTCAAAATTGTTTAACTTATGTTATTCCTGTGAAAAATTATCGATGTAGTCCCGAATATTCTAGAACAGCGTTTTTGCGGCTATTCAAACATAAAAACCGTTCGTATCGAGATACTGATATTCTTAGAAAGGGAGTTGGCTATTAAAGTGTGAAGCAGGTGAACTGTGACAATTTTCGACGATAGTAACATTTTCAAAGTGTTCCTTTGGGATATATGACAAATTGCATTATAACTGTGACCGTATTGGTGGGAACCTGTGCTAACGGCTCATAGTTTCGGCTGCTTTGCTGGATTTAAGGACATCTGCCCACATTTTCGGCCCCCCCAGATAAATTATACAAGCTATTATATGTATATAGCTCACTACCAAGCCACCCTCCAACCACGTAAGTCATTATTTGTTGTTTTCCGCGATCGACTAGATCTTAACACGGGTGTAAATCTCGATTTTAGGGCTTTTTAGCACATGGTGCATATTCTGGTGCATTGTGCATCCTTTCTACCTGTCAGGGCTGCCTCCAATAGTTGCGGCAGGAAAGTGAATACTGGCTGAGTGGCTTACGAATCGTACGACTCGGGAATCGTGGAAAATTGGGAGCTGTTGCAGTATACCGGCTGTCCCATCAAACTGCTCCGCCATTTTGCTGTACCCCGACGTTGACCATCCACAGATAAGCTGTAGTTTTAGTTTTTTTTTTTTTTTCCCTTTAATTATATTGGATTTATTATCCCAACTCTTCTAAATCTATACCTATATAAATACGTGTTATTTTTGGTCTGATGCGTGATAATTCATACCAATGAAGATATTTAGTGTAATTTTGTCTTGATACACGTCTCTTATCGTTTCTTATACCTATATATGTATATGAACATATAGTTTTGTCTTGTATGTTTTTTGTACAACTGTTTTTTTTTATATAAGTAAATTACAAAAATTATTATCATCTATTTATAATATTTATAATATAATATCTTTTTATTGTGCGCCACCCGTGATCACGAGCGGTTAAATTTATACTTATAATTAGTGTCATTTGGTTGAATCTTCACACAAGTATATTTACGGTTTCTATAATTTTCATTGTTGAAACTGAGATCTAATTCTGATACATACAAACGTGTTATTAAATTTATATTTTTGAATATTTTAATAGTTGTTTTTTTTTCTGGTTTTGGCATAAGCGTCCGAGTACGTTTTTAAACTTAAAATTTTGTAACCGGATTTTAAGTGACTTGAGAAACGTGGGTATTTAATAGGTTACTGGCGCCCTGAACTTCACAGTTCTAAATACCGCACGACCAGCTCCGACTGTGTGCTAGCCGACGTTTCCGCCACAACATCTTCTGGACGCGAATCCAACGAAAAGGTGGCAAATTTCTCAAACCCTAGATAAAAACTCAAACCTCATTAACTGAAGCTTTTTCGTCGTATCTGCCGGTAGCTGGTATTTTACTAATTTTCATGTTGCGTGATACGAATTTATTGCCTTTGTTCTATCTACCCTGTCATTGCATCTCAAAGAAACTGTATTTCCAAATATCTGTGCAATGGATCATTTAACTATTGAACATAAGATGGCGCAGTATGGAAAATGTAAAATTGAACGCGAACTATTAAATATCAAGTTTACATACATATGGCTCCTCCTTGTAACGAATTCAAGAACTAAAATTTGGTCAACTATTCGGCTATAAGAAATATGATACTATCTTTACTTATACAATGGTTGAACTTAAATGAGATTTCGGAAATGAATAAATAAATAAACGTTGAGAGCCGATTTTTGAGCAAATGGCCTTTCCTTTCCAGCACACCCACGGCGAAGCGTTGCGTGGAACTGTCCCGGGCTTATTCGTTTCTGGAGCCCAGGCCGCAGCAGAGGGTGTTCAGGGCCTCGGACCTGGTCAAGGGCGAGCTCTTGGGCCAGGGATTCTTCGGTCAGGTGTTTAAGGTGACGACGCGCGACACCGCCGAGGTCATGGTGTTGAAGGAGCTGTACCGCGTGGATGAGGAGGCGCAGAAGAACTTTTTGAAAGAGGTAAGCGGTAGGCTGAAAGAATCGAATGGATCTCATCGATTGAGCTCGAATTTGTGGAACATATTTGGAGATATCGACAAAAAGCACAAAATTTTTGAAATCCTTTGAGTTTTTTTCGTTAAATTGTCGTATATGCCCCGGATTGGATCCGATTCTGATTGAGTTTTGCCCGTTGAAGGTGGCGGTACTGAGGAGTCTCCACCACAACAACGTGTTGCGGTTCATCGGGGTCCTCTACAAGGAAAGGCGGCTGCATCTGGTGACGGAGTACATATCCGGGGGGACTCTGACGGAACTGTTGCACGACTCGGCGCAACCGCTACCCTGGGAGCAGAGAGTGTCGTTCGCTAAGGACATTGCCGCCGGGATGGCGTACCTCCATTCCATGAACATCATCCATAGAGGTATGGCGGCCTTTTTTTCTAATATTCGGAGGGTACACCAATCCGGGAAAACGAGAAAACTCGTTCAAATTTTCCTTATTTCCGATTACTTGCACATTTATTTTTATATGCTTATTTCTCATGAAATGATAATCAAAAGGTGTCAGATCTGGGCTGTGTGGTGTATGGCCTGGTTCAATTCAACGACATTACTCTAGTAGTCCAATTAAATGGATTTTAAATTGAAATTTTGGTCCACTTGCCGGAAGTTAGGTTGGGGCATATAATAACGATAAGTGACGGTAATTCTTTTTATTTTCAACCCTCGATCAAAAGTGAAAAAAATAAAGTGTTTTATCAAGATAACCCAAAAAGGGTAAGAGCTAGAAAAAAGTTTCTTATAAAAGTTGTAGATCACATCAAGCAGATTTTTTTTTTAATCTACATTGAAAAATATAAATTTTCTTTTTAGAGAAATACATATTTTTTTTAATTGTTTATAAAAAAATTATAACAATTTCAATTTTTTAATTGTCAACTTTAATGATTTAACGATATAGCCCGTTTTATTTCTTATAAAAGTTGTAGATCACATCAAGCAGTTTTTTTTTTAATCTACTCTGAAAAATATAAATTTTCTTTTTAGAGAAATACATATATTTTTTTTAATTTTTTATAAAAAAATTGTAACAATTTCAATTTTTTAATTGTCAACTTTAATGATTTAACGATATAGCCCGTTTTATTTCTTATAAAAGTTGTAGATCACATCAAGCAGTTTTTTTTTTAATCTACTCTGAAAAATATAAATTTTCTTTTTAGAGAAATACATATATTTTTTTTAATTTTTTATAAAAAAATTGTAACAATTTCAATTTTTTAATTGTCAACTTTAATGATTTAACGATATAGCCCGTTTTATTTCTTATAAAAGTTGTAGATCACATCAAGCAGTTTTTTTTTTAATCTACTCTGAAAAATATAAATTTTCTTTTTAGAGAAATACATATATTTTTTTTAATTTTTTATAAAAAAATTGTAACAATTTCAATTTTTTAATTGTCAACTTTAATGATTTAACGATATAGCCCGTTTTATTTCTTATAAAAGTTGTAGATCACATCAAGCAGTTTTTTTTTTAATCTACTCTGAAAAATATAAATTTTCTTTTTAGAGAAATACATATATTTTTTTTAATTTTTTATAAAAAAATTGTAACAATTTCAATTTTTTAATTGTCAACTTTAATGATTTAACGATATAGCCCGTTTTATTTCTTATAAAAGTTGTAGATCACATCAAGCAGATTTTTTTTTAATCTACTCTGAAAAATATAAATTTTCTTTTTAGAGAAATACATATATTTTTTTTAATTTTTTATAAAAAAATTGTAACAATTTCGATTTTTTAATTGTCAACTTTAATGATTTAACAATATAGCCCGGGTGCCAGTGACCGTTTTGAGTTAGTCATTTGGCAAAAGCTGAAAATCTTTCGTACGCTTCATTTGGTATCACTAGTAAGTAAATCGACCTCCAGCTCCCGCAGTTCCTGCAGCAGCCTCCCAAACACGTAAAATAAGGAAATAAAAAAACTAATACCGCAAAAGCTGAGACTTTGTCGACAAGTTAATTATGTTATAAACAAAAGAAAAAACTGTTCAGTTAGTTAAACGTTCTGTAAGAAATAGAATAAAGTATTTTCACAAGTACATACACGCTCATCTTCAGGTCCCAACAGAATTATATCCGACTGATTTCGGCTGGGAAGGGAAGGGGGACAAATTTATTTTCAAATGGTTCGAGAGTGAACAGCTGCCCTCTTCCCTTGGAGATATAATTATCGAGGATGAGCAAAAAAATAGTGCAGGTATAGAATTATACTATATTTCGCTCTATAGGTACTAAAATTTCATTATTTAAGTGCAAATTTTTTATTATTTCATTTACATATGTAAAATAATATTTAAAAATATTTAAAAAAATTCGTACCTACTATATGTAATTATTTTTTATAATAAACGTTTTATTAATAATATATAATTATAATAATAATTATTATTATACAGGATGTTTGTAAATAAGTGCGAAATATTTTGGGGGTGGTTGCCGAAGTTATTTTGCGAAAAAAGTTCATATAAATGTAGTTTGAAATATGCTTCGTTTCCAAGATACAGTGTTTCAATTTAAATTTTTTATTTATTTTTTATTAATTATTTCAAAAACTTTTAAAATTATTGACACGAAATTTGTAAAACAGTTTGGAGGGATAAATTTGTAAATTTTGGGATGATCCGAATATTTCTACTTGCTCCAGTGGCGTTCGTGTGAGAATGCCACAACCTTCTTTAATAAACAAAAATAATACGCCACTGACTTTTTCCCTTAGTCCCTTCAATTTTTTTCGTAGGATCTATAGTTTTGAGGGAAAAAATAAAACAACATTTTATTACGAGTTGTGTATTTTTAATTTCTATTCATACATTATCTAGTAGGTAGCTGACAGTGTTTCTAAATAAAATGCAACCATTCTAGTCCACCCTTTTTTTTTCTTTGATTAATAACAAGCTGAATTTTGGGGAATAGCTTCGTTTTGAGGAGACGTCCAAGTTTTCCCTCTAGGAAAATTCTCGAAAACGGTAGCTAATAAAGCGCGGGGGTGTCAAACATGTCGATTTGGTGAATGATCAATATTTATTACTAACAAGTTTTTTACTTAAATCGCATGATAATTGTATGAAAAACTCTAAAAAACTTTTGTCCTACACGTTCGATGGTTTTTCCGAAGCGTCTCCCACTCTTAACATGTTAAAATAATATGATCTTAGAAGTTATTAATAACCACCTAATTTTTTCACAGATGCTTGGTTATTATTATTATAACTCAGTGACATTTTTGTCCTACACATAAAATAGAAGGTTTTCCTAGTCCTACACTGGAAAAATGTAATTTTCACGGGTACAATTTTCTCATTAATAACAACCTAATTTTCGATTTTTTCTTTTGAGAACGATGTTTAAATCAAGATTTTACCAATGTCCTACAAAAAAAGTTGGAAGCTAGTGATGAAAACAAATAAAATTATACTCGAAATCATACAATTTAATTTTCAATAAAAATGATAAAAAAAAATTTATTGAAGTTTATAATTTTTTTTTTAAACTTATTTATCTATATAATAATGAATTATTCAATAATCTTTATAATAATAAGTTTTTTTTAAATTTATGAATTATCGAATGTTTCACCATTGGTGAAAATAAAAAATTTCAAAATTCTCGCACCAATCAGGATTATTTTGGCGGTTTGCCCACGTTTTTTTTTCCGAGAGAATCAAGTGTCGTCCACGTTTTTGTGCTTTTTTTAGTGACTATGGAGTTCTTATGCAAATTATTGTGCGATAATCCGAATTTCCGAGAAAAAAGAGAGGAAATAAAAAAATTCTCTAAAGTAATTCTGATTGCTTGTAAACAATATAATATAATATTTTATAGTAATAAATTCAAATTTTTTTATTTTCATACAAAAATTTATTATTTTATCAATAGAAAAAGGAGCTGTTTACTGAACAATCACACATGAGCGTGGTTATTGAATAATATTAATAGTGAAAGTTAATGTAGAATAACAAAATTAATTATTTTAAAAATTAGTAACTATTAAGTAACTATTTTTGTGTATTAATTTTTTTTAAGTATATAAAATTAATTAATTTAAAGTTAATTATATTAAAAGGTATTCAGTTACTGAAACGGGTTCAGTAAGTAACTCCTTTAAACTTGAGATAAAAATGTATATTTCTTTGTTTAATATACTCAAAAATACCTTTTATTCAAAATTTGTTTCTATAATTTCTAGAATAAAAATTAAAAATAATACAAAAACATTTACATATGATTTTAAAATATAATAAAAAATTCATCGGTTTGGCTCGACCTGGCTCGATAAGGGTGGTTTGCTTAATATATCCACCCCCACCCCCCCTAAACTCTCTGGGGGATCAGTAAACTATTTTTCTCTTTGGGATGCAATTTTGGCGAAGTTTGGACATGTATAATCACAAGAAGATATAATGCTGATTTTGAAATTCGCAATTTTAAATAATTTTTGTAGGACTAGCAATACATACTCTTTTTTTTGTAGGACATAGGTTTTTTTTTATTAAAAATTCCCTAAAATATCGTTTGGTTTCTTTGTCCTACAGTTATTAATGAGAAAATTGTACCTGTGAAAATGACATTTTTCCAGTATAGGACTAGGAAAACCTTCTATTTTACGTGTGGGACAAAAATGTCACTGAATTATAATAATAATTACCAAGCATCTGTGAAAAAAATTAGGTGGTTATTAATAACTTCTAAGATCATATTATTTTGACATGTTAAGAGTGGGGGACGCTTCGGAAAAACCATCGAACGTGTAGGACAAAAGTTTTTTCGAGTCTTTCATACAATTATCATACGATTTAAGTAAAAAACTACTTGTTAGTAATAAATATTGATCATTCACCAAATCGACATGTTTGACATCCTCGCGCTTTATTAGCTACCGTTTTCGAGAATTTCCGTAGAGGGACAAGTTGGGCGTCTCGTCAAAACGAAGCTGTTCCCCAAAATTCAGCTTGTTATTAATCAAAAAAAAAAAAGGGTCTGGGCCCGTGGACTATTCAATTTCGAGTCAATATCTTTAAAACTATTTGAAATAATTAATAAAAATAGATAAAAAATTAAAGTTTAAACACTGTATCTTGAAAACGAAGGATATTTCGACCTACGTTTATATGATTGTTTTTTCACAAAATAACTTCGGCAACCAACCCAATAAAATATTTTGCACTTAGTTTCAAACAGCGTGTGTTGAGGAAGAAATGGCAGGAATCGACATTGACTCCAGCGACCATGAGTTTGAGTGTGATGAATCGGAAAATTAAATAGATAATATATTCTTTCACATATAACGTTTATTGTAAATAAATATTCGAAAAAAGTTGTATATTTTTATATAATTACTAGTAAAAACTTAAAAAACGAAAAATTAATACATATCATACCGCACAAGTTGAAATTTGGTAATACAATAGCTAACTTAGTAAGTTAAATGAAAAAAATGCTCAGCTTTATATGTGGTGAAGGAAAAGTGCTCAGCTTATAAAGTCAAAGATGTACGCACTCGTGCGCATAAGAGCATTATTATGAACCTCAGTTTACGAACAAAGAAAATAATGGTAGATGATTAGTTTGAGTTGCAAAATTTTTTCAACGATGTGCTGCACCTTCAACTCCTCAGCTGAGCACTTATACACCCCAAAAACTTCAGCGGACAATTTTTTTGCGTATAACTGATGGCTATTACTTTACCAAATTTCAGCTTTTGCGGTATCAGTTTGCCTAGCGCATATTTTTGACTTGTTTAGGTGAAAAGCTGAGGCATAACCCCCACTCTAAAGTCAGCTGATTGTGTTTTTTCGTTTGTTTATAACATAATCAACTTGTCGACAAAGTCTCAGCTTTTGCGTTATTAGTTTTTTCTAATGACTATTTTACGTGTTTCTCTTACTAGTGACACCAAATGAAGCGTAGGAGAACTTTTCAGCTTTTGCTCTTTTGGTCATCAAAAAAGGTCGCTGGCTCTCGGGCTAATAATAAAACAATTTTTTTTCCATATCATTATAAATTCATTATTTAAAATTACGTACAGTTGCCTCCGAAATTTTTTTTTACCTATAAAAAAATTACTCTCCCTTATTGTTTTAGATCAACGGTTGCTATCACCTTTTTCAAGGAACGAGTTTGTTTCAAAAACACCCTGTATATCCCAAACTAACTTTTATCAAAAATTCGGGCAAGTCGACAAAAATTGCGACTTAAAGGTCCATTTAATTTTGGACTATAAGATTGAAGTACAGTTGTACCTGTGGTTTTTTATGTGAATAACGCTTTAGAAATGATTTCATTATTTACTTTCCCTCTTCCCGTTAGACCTGAATTCACATAATTGCCTCGTTCGAGACGACAAGACCGTCATAGTCGCCGATTTTGGGCTAGCCAGAATAGTGTCGCACACGACCAACAGCGCGAGGAGGGTTTCTCCAAAAAATACGGCGGGCGGTAAGCGCCAGGAACGTAAGAAGCGCTACACGGTGGTGGGGAACCCGTACTGGATGGCCCCCGAGATGATGAAGGGAAATAAATACGACGAGAAAGTCGATATATTTAGTTTCGGGATCGTTTTGTGCGAGGTAAACCCCACTCTTCAATTTCTTTCGTTCTTAGGATTAACTTTAATTTTTTTGTAGATTATAGGCAGGGTTCAAGCCGACCCGGACTTTTTGCCTCGTTCCAACGACTTTGGCCTGAACCAGATGACGTTCAAGGAAAAATTCTGTACATCGTGCCCGGAGCCCTTCTACCAGATCGCTTTCCTTTGTACGGATCTCAACCCGGACAAAAGGTAGTAGTAATTCCGTGTAACGTCCCGTAATCCACGAGGATGGTGTTTCTAGGCCCCCTTTCGAGGTTATGGAGGTGTGGTTGGAGTCGCTCTCGATGCACCTCTCCGTTGGAATGCCCCTTCCGCCCGATCTTCTCTTCGATATCCACCACTACCGCGGCCTCAGCCCCAGTTCCTCCGGCAGTACGACACCCGAGGGGATACCGTCCGGACACAGGAGTCCGGCTTTAGAGCCCATACGTGAGGGCAAGATGGCGACGATGACGAAAAGCACCGAGAAGATATCCAAGAACGGCGACAAGTCACAGAAAAGCTGCGAGAACCTCAAGCCCATCATAAAAGTGTCCTCGGCGGAGAATCTGTTGAACAATAAACGGGACAACGTGCTTAAGCCCATCATAAAGGTGTCCAGCAGCGACGCGCTGACCGAAAAGGTCTCAAACGACGAGTCGTGCACCAAGAGCTGCGAAAATGTCAGCGACGGGAGGTACGACCGGCTCGTTACGGAGAAAATCAACGAGAGCATACTCAGAAACGACTCTCGGGATTTCCCCAACTACGAGAACATCGATTTCTTGAAGAACGACGCCGCGTTCGCCGGCGACGCGGAGAAGCCCATCTGCATCCAGAAACTGGGGGATGCCGACCTGAAGAAGGACACGGAGAGAGGGTACTGCAGTCTGAGCAACGTCTTGCCAAGGAAATACCCCGTGCACCACGACAATAACCTGAAGGACAACAAGTTCAACGTCCACCTGAGAAAAGTGCCAAAAAACTTCACCCGGAACCGATTCGCCAAGGAGATCAAGGAGAACGCTTTGCGGGACGACGAGGGCAGTTCCGTCAGGGATAAAATCAAGTTTCTCGCCAAGAGCAGGACGTTCGACGTCAACCCCCTGTCCGGAGCCGGGAAGATGTCGAACCTCAACTTGGACTGTATCGGATTGAGGTCCACGACGTTACCGTCGCAGGTCACCGAGAAGTACGTAAATAAAACCAAGAACGTCAACGTGAACAACGCCAAACCTCAGAACGTGCCAATATTGTACCAGAGATCGTTGAGTAATTTGGAGAGATGCGACTCGGTGCCGGACGTGGTATCGTCGACCCTACCCGGCAAACCTTCCTGTAGTTTCGAGAGGACGAACGACGGCACGAGAGCGCCGTTTAGTATCAGCAGACAGATTTTCAACCGCAGCGACTCGAGTCCGGAGGAGGGCAAACGCCAAAGCAACAACCGTTGCAGTCTAATGAGACGGAAGTACACGGAGAACAGTCCCGTAATGCGAAGAACGCCCGTTCTGCAGAGACGGGCCTCCGAGGAATGCAGAAACGTGACGGAAAATGAAACGTGCAGAGATCCTCCCTCAAGCCCGGAAAGTAAAGACAATCGAATCGCTTCGGGTCTCAGGCTCGGTAGGGACAATCCGAGGCTGTGCGACACGAAGCGGATCGAATCGGATCCCAAGACGAAACCGAAGACCATCGTGGAATCGGAACGGTCTTCCATACTGACGAAATTGACTCCCATCTTGCAGCGCAGGTCGGGGTTCCTGAGGTTGGACCAGGCGGGCGCGGCGAGTCCCGCCTCGAGCAAGAAGCCGTCCTCCCCGCCCGGCATCGTCAGGAACATGGTGGACAGCCTGAACAGGAAGGGCGGGCTGAGCTTCAGCAGCCGGGGGAATTACGGCAGGAGCTCCCTGAAGGCGATGGGCAGCCCCAGGGTGGATTTGAAGAAGGTGGGACGCAGCTGCAGCCCGACGGAGGAATACACGGCTTTGTAAATATCCAGTTTGGACGCGGATTTATTGAACTCTTTGGGAGAAGGTAATTGCAGAGTTCTGCGGAGAATCTAAGAGGGCTCGATGGCAAATAGCCCTCCGGCAATGTATTCTTGTAGATTTTATTAGACACTTTTGTCTAGATATGAATCAATGCACGAATAACAGAGTTTCCTCCATTCTAACGCAGGTTTTATACAGGGTGATTCAGTCATAATGTCATTAATTTTAAGAGCAGATAGAGAAAAATGAGTATAATACGATGGCGTGATTAAAAAAAAATTTAAATGCATATTTAAGCTGAAAAAAAATATTTTCAAATCATTATTTAACCCCCTTTTCAGGCTGTTACTGACCGGCTGACGTCACAATATTATGCACGGCTACGATATGAACCTATGAACAACGCGCCCTAGATGCAACGTTGCCATATTTATATATTTTCGCTCATATAAAGACAATAAATAAACGGTTTTGCTCACGTCAGCCAATAATAATTTAAAATGCTATAAATTATTTTTTATTTATGCAATCAACATATTAAATTGTTATTGTTGCCCAGCAAGAACCTCGAGGTCTGAGCATGCCTTGCCAAAAATCAGTTTTTATTAGCATCATAATTTTAATATTTTAACAACATTTGCTGTAAGCCCGAAGGGGAAGGTTTTCAAACAATTCTACTAAAAATTAGTAACGCGGCCCATTCAGATGTTCAGGTAGAAAATGCGGCCCAATTAAACGATCGCCATTGACATTGACACCGAATCTCCTCTGAAAGCTATACCACCGACGAGTAGTGTGCGGGTAGTAGTGTGTTTCATCTGACCAAATGTGACTATTATGGCTGCAAAGAAATTAGCTGTTTCACTTTAAATAAGATTTAATATTGAAGTTACAAAACCCCAAAAGTTCAAATAATTTAAATTTCATTTCATAACCATTTCAATTTCGTTACAGAAATAATGTCATAAAAAACCAACACTCACTAGATAAATTATAAAGAGAGGATAAATTGTATGCAGTATTTAAATATTGACTGCAATTAGAAGAGAGACTTGTATATTCCATAAAAAAACAATGGGACGGAGACAAATAAACAACTCGGTACGTCGTGTTTCCGACCTAGGGTAACCTGTGGTTCAGTAACCTTTTAACCCAGTTTTAATTTGCACACGTGCACCATATAGTCCAGGAGCCCGATGTGCAAACAACTTATTCTTAAATATTTGACCTCTTGAATCCAAAGAAACTTGGTCGCAAAGCCTGAAAGTGGTCAGTTTAATTGTTATCAACAAATTAAATGTTTAAATGGCTGTAAAAAGTTTATTTTTATAGCTAGTACAATTTATTCGCTAATAGTTACGTTTTCTCATAACAAATATGTATTTTTTTGGAAATTAAAAAAAATTAACTTTAACCAAAGTTATTGCAAATTTAGTGCAAATTTCTTACATTTTCCGTCTCCGTGCGCACTAATTTTACCATATCTGGTTCTAAGTTCCATTTATTTATTAATTTATTTAATAATTAATGGCATCTTAGAAAGTTGTGAAATTTCAACGAAAATGCCGGTTTTAATTGTTTATAAGGTTTTTTTTATTATTCAACTTCGACGAAAAGCCAAAAAAGTTACCGGATATTGTTCTTTGCATTCTAACAATCAAGCAAGGCATGAAATCATTGTTAGGATGCGAGGAACAATAACCGGTAACTTTTTTGGCTTTTCATAAAAATTGAATAACAAAAAAAGTTTTATAAACCAATAAAGCCAACATTTTCGTTGAAATTCCACAACTTTCTAAGCTGCCATTAATTTTTAAATAAATTAATTAATCAATGGAACTTACCTATCTTGTAAAATAAAGTTTAAGTTTTAAAATGAGATGTGCGTCTCAATCCGTCCAATTGAACCAGAGATATGGTAAAATTGGTGCGCGCAGAGACGGAAAATGTAATATATTTGCACTAAATTTGCAATAACTTTGGTTAAAGTTAATCTTTTTTTAATTTTCAAAAAAATATATGTTTGTTGTGAGAAAACGTAATAATTAACAGATAAAAAATTGTACTAGCTATAAAAATAAACTTTTTACAGCCATTTAAACATTCAATTTGTTAACAACAATTAAACTGACCACTTTCAGGCTTTGCCACCAAGTTTTTTGGTTTCGAGAAGTCAAAATACTTAAAAATAAGTTATTTGCAGCCGTGGAATTCTGTTTGGCTACGGAAACCTATCTGGCCCCTAGCCCCTAGACTAATACGAGTGTAGTAGCAAAAAGTTGTCGGTCTTTTATCAAAGGAAAATCGTATCAACAAATTTAATTTAAAATCTAAAATACCGGCTGTTTTCGTAGTAGCTGTAGTCGCCCAGGTGCATCGAGTGTACGAAGTGGTCGGTTATATGTCAAATACTAACCTGGCGAGCTTGAACCTGAACTTGGCAACGCTGTTCCTTTAGCCGACAACTGTTCGTGACATTACGTTACAAAATTTTCCGAGCATCCGGGCATCGGCAGGGCAGCCCTCGTAGCGGGAGTTATGGGTTGATTTCCTTCATTTTTAAAAGTCGAGTAAAAAATTTTTTTTTCCGATTTTCTGTCTTTATTAAGCCTTCCGAATACGTGGTTAAAATTAATGACATTATGACTGAATCACCCTGTATAAAGTGGACTTAGTTTGAAACTTAAATTACTTTTTGTTGCGAAGAAATTTGTAATTTGCCGCTTTTGAATCGTAAATTACAAATTTCTTTACAACAAAAAATAATTCGAGTTTCAAACAAAGTCCGTTTTATAGAAAATTTACGCTAGAATGGGGGAAAGTCTGTTATTCGTGCATTAATTCATATTTAGACAAATTGTGTGATAAAATCTACAAGAATGTATTGCCGGTTGGCTATTTGCTATAGAGCCCTATAGAGAGATTTATGAGACGCCACGGATGCAAAGAATTGTCTTTTTTGTCTTTTGCGATTAGGAATCTTCCGATTATATATTTTTAAAGAACAAGCAATGATACCATGTACTCCAACGGGGTAAATGAGGATCAAGCTTGATGCACACGTGACTATGGGTCAAAACGGATCGAGGATAGCCATTCGATCGGTTTGGATCGATAAGTTTGCAGCCATCGCGTTTACATCACGCTCGATCATTGTTTACCTCGTCGGAATATGTAAAGTGAATCGGGCCTAGTTATAACCGGTGACGTTCACTTTTTGTTTATTCTGTTGCCGTGACTGAAAATGAATCAAATGGTTGTTATATTAATTGAAACTAGGGTTGTTCCGGACACGAATGCAAATTTTTCAGGTTGATAAATCTGCGAAAGTAAAATTGACATGCGAAATAAAGCGCATACAAATATTTCAAAGGGTCAATAATTGATTGAATCGTTTTAAAGAATTTTTTCGTGTGAGTCTATATCGTAAAAGGCATTAGGTTTGTCCGTGCAAATACTTCTTAGGTCAAACGGTGGTAGAGATACGGGACGACGTAATCACTAAAAACCTCAAAATTTCGAAGCCACTGTACATTTTGGGAATTCATTGGTGCATTTGATTCCAAATTGTAATTTAAGGATAAAAAAAGCTTATTTTATTTGGAAATCAACTATTTTCGAGTTACAAATTTTTTTTTAAACCTTTTTTTTAGTAATTTTCGTACCTCACAAGTGATGAAAAACAGTAAAATTCACAGTTAGATGTACCATCTCCAAATTACGGAACAACTGATGCCCTTCACTTCGTCACCGTTGACCCGCACTATCTCCCTTCACGTGCATTGTAGGTTGCCTACAATTCGTGTATTTGTAATGCGTGAAGCAAACAATACTCTTGTTTGTTTCTTTTTATCGTTATCTTCCTAGTTACTGCTTTCTGCCCATTCAACAATAAAATTGAAGTAAGTGCAGAAGGAATAGTGCGTGGGCTCGACATTTCGCATGTTTAATTCGCACGGTTTCAACTGTACAGGTAAATCTGTGCGATGTGCGGGACATTAACATTGAAATTACTAATATTGCAGGAAAAATCCTAGATTTCTTGTTGTAAAACGGTTTTAAATTGAAAACATAGAAATTTAATTTTTTTAGGGGCAACGTTTTTGTATTTATATGCATTTGTTTCTATACAACCTAAACTATTTGAAATTTAAAAAATGATAGTTTGAAAATGTCTTGTTTCATAAATAATATGCACAGTCCGGTTTTCTCATTGGCAGCCCGCACATTTGCGGTTTAGTCGACCGTCTTCGACAGCTAACTAGGCTTTTATTAGTAAAATTTAATTTTTTCGAAAACAAGTCGACATTTTCGTTAAATTATCAGTTGACAAAGTGAGTCTTTTCTGTTACCTAGCTGCAAAACACTTTTATGTTCTAGTTCAAAGAGGCGGCTACTGTAATTGTTTAAATTTACTGCGCACGTTGTATTATTGGCAAGTTCCGTTAGCTCTGTTGAAGATGATAACAATTTATTTGCGATTGAATTTCTATTTTATATTGAATCTTCTATATATGTCTCCATTACCGTACTGGAACGCCACCTCCCATGTCGTTTAATGGTGGTAATATCGGCCCCTGCATCGGCTGACAGAGTGGCGGAGGAACGGCTAAAGCAATGCCCTGTATAAGTTTCCGGATGAGGCAAATTGAGATAAGTTGTTATTTCTTTTGAGCCATTCCTTATTTTGTTGACGCCAACCACTAGATTAACACATTTTTCCCTGACATACTTCGCAAAAAATCTTCAAGATAGCAACTACCGGACGTAAAGCACAGTATTTGCGGTATATCTTGTTTTGGTCGGGACTTGAAATCACAAAACATCTTCGAGTATAAGTTTTGGAATCGGGAATTCTTATAATAATAATTGAATCTTTGTCTTCTATATATTCGATCGTTATCTTTAGTAGCTCATCTCCTCTCAAAGCTCCACAAACACCAATTATTAAAATGTCCTGTAAAGTTGTTCAAAATTAATTAAATCGATCGATTTTATTAATTTGAACTGCCTTTTTTTTCTAGCACAAATCTATTATCAGGCGCCTCTTGTAAAACTGTCTCAATTTCCTCTTTCGTTAGAATTCTGGACTTTTTCGGACAGTACCCAACTGATCTGCTTTTCAAATATGGTATTAGTTTTGGAAATTCTC